ATGGTGCTATTTCGCACGTTGTGGGTGCCAATACTATTGACCGTGGGGAATGTGGGCTTATTTATACTGCCATTGTTGTTGGCATGATTTGGGGTCATATTCTTTTTTTACCAATGAACTTATGGCTAGGAGAGGACAGGGTCAACATTCGGGGGATTTTGACTTTTCCTTGGATTATTTAGTGACATGTCTAAATCTACGGTGGTGGGTGGTATAGTTTTATTAGCTATTTGATTACAATTTAGCGGCCTTTCGGTTGGTGTCGCTCTCTGAGAAGATAATTCTGTGTGGTTAGAGAGGGGTTGTGCGGTGGATTCTACGGTGTCTCTCAAAGGGTTGGGTATAATTGCTGCTTGCAATGTTCTATTGTTTATTCCACAATTAGACTCAGTGTGATAATTATATACGCGCCTTTCTATGACGGTCTTGTCTATCGCAACCTTTATTAGTTTGCAATTTCTGGCTTGCGATAGGGTGTGTTGGGAGTGGGTAAATTTTCTGGCCTCAGCCGGTGTTTCGAACTGAAAACGAATAGGACAACACTTTTCATGTTGACACTTCTTCTGCCTGTAGCACTTAGTCTTGAAGTTGGTCATTTTCGCCTCACTAAGTAAGATGCGCTGTACCATTCTTAGTGCCTCATTGTCCGGAACGTTGTAGACAATAGCATTTAGTTTAGCATCGAGTCGTTTTGTTACTTCTGTAGTAACAAAGTTAATGAGGTTATCCACCTTAGATACCGATTCCGTGTCAAGTTTGTTAAGGTTTACAGTTTTCATGAGGATAGTTTTAAGGTGTCAGTTCACAGACCTGCGATCTGATATCGCTGATCTGATCTGATAATTTGGATATTTTGGTATTGGTTTCAGTAATTCCAGGATTTGCTGACTTACTGTTTTTTATTTCCCTTAACTCGGCCTTAAGTTCTCCTATAGACAACTTTAGAAGTTCTATTTCTGAAAATAGTTCTGAAACAGAGCTTGATGGCTGGAGCTTTTCGATAAGCACACAAGGTGAAGGGAGGGTTTCCGTATGAGCAGAGGGTACTGGATTTTTTGGAGTAGTGCTAATACTAGCTGTCAGTGCAGTTTTATCCTCAGTTTCAGCTCGACGCTTATGACATACGAGTGGGTTATGTGGCTCACTATAACCGCTTGTAGTGAGTGTGTTGCTTTATGTGGCAATCAGGGACGTAAAATTAGTTATCATTTTTACAGGGGATTGAGTTCGTTGCCTTTTACTTTGATTAACCATAAGTATTTGCCATAAGAGTTTATGGTTATAGGTATGGAGGAGGTAGAGAACTTGTGCAAGGAAACCGTCTGTTTATTGGCCACGTTATAAATATAGCCCAGGCATGACAGTCAGCCACACGTTTTCTCCCTTCCAGTGAGCTTCTAGTCTAGGTTGGATGAAATATGGCATATAATTCGTGTACTGCACCCATAATTCCACCCATCTACTACGGAATCATCTGAATGGCTGCTGAAGGGCATTAGTCCGTTCACTATGGAGTTCTGTTGTGGGCTGCTGTAATTTAGAGTCAGCTAAATGCTCGGTAAGCATATGTAAAATTAATCTATGTAAAGGTATAATTTGCGTACGTGAATTAGTTCTTAGGCGTCCAGTCACAGCTAATACAGGGGCACTGCACTATAACCCTAGTCCTTACCTTAAGCCTGACCACAATACTGACCACGAACCTGACCCTAATACTAGTCAATACCATAATGTGCTATCGACCCATTTTCCAGACAGTGACCAAAAATGAGGTCAGAATGAAATTTGCAAATTAGTTCGTGCACAGCGTTCATTGTGGGAATTGAAGTTAATGAGATCAGCAAGTGAATTTCGGTAATCCTTGTAATGCGCTCATGTTAAATAATTACCTCATGCATTTCCAGGTGTCGCCTAGTTATTTTATTTTTGTGTTCACCTCAGGTTATCGGTCTGCCTTTGCATAAGACGCAGTCGTACTGAGCGCCCGCAAGCAGCGTTTCAACATATCTACCTCCTAAAAAGGATGCCAGAATGACGCCTCGGTGTAATTTGAACTGGATTGCACTACAATTAGTACCTATGTATTGCTCATGCGATTACGTGCATGCTTGTCCATCTCATTATAAAGCGTACCTCCAACGGCATTGTTTTCACAAAGAAAATTTAGTGCAGCTTATGCAGTTATCTGCAAATGCTTTGTTAGATGATTCACACACATCTGCAGAGTCATTGTACAGCTATTGCTCTTGTGATTTAACCACTTCTTTACGATTTCTGTGAGGACACAATTTATCAGGACTGGGAAGTGCGCTGCGTTCTTCATCACTTATGTGCATATCTTAAGCTTGTGAGATGGAACTCAGAGCGTTTATTATTTACCCTAGTGTTCCAAAGTCGTGATGTCTCAAAAAGGTTTTCGGGCACACGCACTCGTATATCAACGCCCCCACCCATTATTATTATTACTGAGTCTTCATGTCACTCTAATATACCAGACGGAGAGATAAGCATCGATGAATGCACACACTTCTGGCGTGACAGGAACAGTGGTAAGGGAGGAGACTGCCTTATGTACTTCCTGAACACACTTACTGTATTACAGCTAGAAAATAGGGAAATCAACGAGATGCAAGACCCTCCATGGGTCAACGTATACTTCAGAAACGCTACAGTACTAATTGAATGCATTTACAGAGTACCTGGCACCCTTAGTGATTGCGGGATCAAACTTATCAATGCGCTGGAGCAAGTGTCCACTCTTCCGTCCGACCATGAGGTCACATGTGCAGACTTCAACCTACCGGAAATCACCTGGGAAGTTTTGACAGACCCAGCCTAATGTGATAAGCTCTTGGGTGCCATAGATGAATTTGAATAAAGCAAGAACGAAAGTGGGTTGTGCAGAATAATATGGTACCATCATTTATTTCGTAGGCTTCTCATCAGCTGCTTACAGCCTAAATACATAATGAGGTTTGCGTACAGAAAAGTTTTAACATACTTGCAAATTTTTACATGTTGCCAGTTGACAAAAAGTTCCACAGTAAGTGAACAGTGCTCAAAAAATTGCGCTTATATAGTTTTTACACATGCAGTTCAAGTTTAAACAAAATAGATGTATGCATACAATGGTAAAGGAGTTACGTAATAAAGACGAAATATGAGTTAGATACAGAGTGACTAATAAATTAGGTAACAATGTACTGAGTTCAACTCAAATCATAGAAACAAGAGACAAGCAAAATTACAGAATATATGTCATAGATGAATATGTCATAGATGAAGAGAGTATCCTCTGGGGGCTGGAAGACCGACGCTAAATTCCGTTTACTTGTTTGCTTGATCCTCTATATTGCTCATCTGTTAGAATCTACCTGAACCTAGCAGTTTATGGAAGGGGGCAACTGAGTTAGGTGGATCTTGGAAGATCTATCGCACTAATTGTGAGTTGAAAACATTAATCTTATGTTAAGTTGTGAGTTTAATCAACCATGGTTACATGAATGTAACACATATTTGGTGTTGACATGTTGCTATCATATGAAGATGATTTACTGTGATTTGGGAAACAGTTTCATATTAAACAAAGATCAGGTGATGATATTCGACCCTACGTAGAGTAAGTTCTATAACAATGAGGACAGAGTGTTAACTGCCAGTAAAACCGGATGCAAAACCTAATCTTGCGACGACCATATGCTAACTGCTGACGTAAAAGAAACGGATTTTCCCGGGTTCTTATTTAGTGATTACTGACATCATCCCACTTCCTGTGGTACTGTCCTAAGATAGAATTTCGTGAAATTGATTTTAAGGTTTCCCGAGGGTTAAAATATGAATTATGCGTAACATTTCTGAAAACATTTGCTATTGATTCACTAGTCCCTCATCCTTTTGAGGGGCACTGGAACGGTAGATTCTAGGTGAGTTCAGCAAAGTAAATAACTTACTTTTTCTGATAAACCCAAAATATCCGTTTTTGGAAGTTTGTAGCGGTTAGTGATAATCGTCACAACACACAAGATGAGTGTACTACATTGCAGCTTCATGCCCAGTGGTACTCTTCTGCTTGTGCACGAGTTTGTGAAGCACAGAGTGAGTGAAATTCTGTTTATAGCTGCGGACATCTGAAGGATCCGACTAACAATATTTCAGAGAGATTAATCCTCTGGATAAGTGGAGTAGGACTCCATTAACGTAAGTACTGATTTGCAAATACATCCACTTTGAGAATGACGCTGATGTTAAAGGAGGACAAAGGGAATGGGTAGATCCCCTCAACGTTATACGCAGTCACTGAAGAAGCTCCAAATTACAAATGAAAGTGTAATTACAGACTATTAGCTCGTGTATACCTCAGTTTGCATCCTAATAGGTGCATAAACCTCATTAAGGCAGCACATTCAAATTGTTACTATAAGTAGGTTATCAACACATAAAGGCATTCAAATAGCAAAAAACATAATAAATTAGAGAACTTTGCTGACAGTAGTATACAACATAGGAATGGCTCCCAGCTAGTGGGTGATGCAGTCAGTGCATGTTAGAAGAAACTAGTGGATAATTTGTGGAAGTGCTCCAGTTGTTTCCAAGTGGACTTGAATAAAGCAAGCTCAAAGCGTTGAAAGGGATTCGTTTGGACTGACTTTATGTTTGCATGCAAGTGCAAGTCCGGAATCCCACACCATGTCTAATTCTTGTCCATACATACATTGTAGTCTGTGCCATGGGTACTGGCTTTTGAGAAAATATGAAGAGATTCGAGTTCTTCTGATACAGATGTAAAAAGGCCATGAGTAGTGGAGTGCTTGTGAACATGGTGCACAATCTACAGATCATAAATAAATGTCTAGAAGTTTTTGTTGATAATGAAGAAAAATATACATAACTAATGACAGTTACTATACTTTGGAGTCTATAGAATAATTACCGTTAACGGACACCTAGATCATTTTTTTAATGCTTAAAACTGAGAATTGAAATATGAGTGTTGTTTTACCGAGCCAAACAAATGTACAATATCGACGAGGCACGTTAAGTTCCATGTCTTCAAAGGCCGTTTACGAAGAATCCGCTAAGTCAATAATTTACCATTCTATATGCTGTTCACAGCTGTCTAAAAACCCTCTCCGGGTTTTCGAAGCAGGAAGTGACCTGAGCAGTGTGACAGATGACTGGATATTACAAGGCGTATGAGAAATATGACATTCCAATCAGATTTTTTTTGTAGCAACTTGTCAGTAAACCGGATGTGCTTATTAAACGCAGAGGAAAATTGGGGCTGGTGTTTGCAGGTTTAAAGTGGACAGATGTGCAGAAACAACTGAGTAAATTTCTAGGACGTAGTCTCAATGTGAGTGTTTCAATTAACTGTCTTGTCTTATACGCGTTGACTAGATGATGGTAAACATCTGCAGCCATTTTTTCATGTGCTTATATTATCACTATACCCTTTCAACCCTCTGTTTTTTGGACTGTGGATGCTTGGGAAATAATAAGCTAACATGATATTTCTCCTGTGCTTTTGCAATCTGTGAAAGTTATTCATCTGAATTCATGTATATAATGATAAAACGATGAAAATACATTAAATTCGATGTAAAAGCATTTACGGAGTAACCCTCTAAAAAACGACCTGGCACATTTGATTGACGAAATCTTAAAAAATACCTTATGGCTAGTTTTATAAGTCCTAATCTTGACCGTCCTTGTTAACAATGTTTTTCTTTTTTCACCATTGCATGTGGTAGAAGGAATAAAACCGAGGAAATTTAATTCTAGTCGCAAAATAATAGCATAAGACATATAGGTGTACTTACAAATGCACCTTTGGCACCGATATCATAGAATAGGTCCCATGCTACCGCAAATTTGGCTTCATTTTTTTCCTCTAACTTTCACATCTATTCTCACAAAAACTCTAAATTCATTAAATTCTTATTATGTCTAAAATAGAGCTTAAGTCAATACTTTGTGCAACTGTGGTGACTACTTCTCACGCTACCAAAATGAAATTATGGAGATATAGTTGTTGGTAGATCCGTGGTGGTTTATTTTGCTACCTACATATATAACTGTTGTAAAGCGATGTGAAAGGCGATTACATAGGGCGTGGTTATTCAACAGTGTTTTGCCGGTCTCGATTTAAAATGCTTTATTATCCACCACTTACTTGAACTGATAAAATCGCATTTTCCAGCATAGTTTTCGAGCAGTTCGGCTGTCACTTTGCCAGTTAGTATTGTCTAAAGTTGTAGTCATTTTTAATATGCGTTGACTATATTATTGTTTCTATGCATTTTTCTATCAACCTATGCGTGCGATTTTGAGGGTAATTAACCTGAACTGCTGTTCATGTCTGCAAAGTTCTATGTTAAAAACTTAGCCAGTTACCATTGGAAGCCTTATTCCTTTTATGTATTTCGGCTCATTTTTTCTGTTTGTATGTGTAAAATTTATATATTTTTTCGGTCTCTGATTTTACGTTGCTTCGTGTTTGTTAATTTTTTTTTCAGATTGGTTCTACTTCTGGGATTCTTGATCGCTTCATTGTCGAGCCTTTCGTGCCACATGAACAGGTAGGTTTTCATCACAATTTCACTTATATACATATATACTTAGTACATTGAATTAATCTGTGGTTTTGTGTGGATCGCTTCAATAGGCAACAGTTTATACCGTATGCTAACATCTTAATTAAATGTAGCTAAACTATAATAACCAGTAGATACCCACAAAACGTACGATAAGAATCATGCAAACCTGATGCGTCTAACACAGAATTCAAGAAGTCACTATTATATAATTCTTAATAAATTTTCAATGAGAGCTACTAATCACAGGTTTCAATGGAAGTATAATAATATGGGTACATGAGATATTATTTGCAAAAATATTAGGAGAGTGTTAAATTGAAAAAAAACCTAGAATCTCTAATGTTATGGTCAGCTAAAAATTTACTGTATAATATATGAAATGTGTCTAGCTTGCATGGATTATTTATACAAACATTTGTGATGTTTTGTTTCACTCTAACCTAACTGCTTCACTTGTCATTAGTAAGACAATGGGTACCATCATTGCTTATTTCGTTGGCTTCTCATCAGCTGCATACAGCTGACGAATAATTGCATGATTTCAGTTAATAGAAGGCTCAAAACTTAATAAGTAGTCCTCAGAAAATTACTTGGAAAGTTAAAGTTTAAACGAAAATATAAATGTTTGCATACAATGGTAAAAAGTTACATAATAAAGATAAGAGGTGAGTAAAGTAATGATTAACTAATAAACTGGGTAACAATATATATTGAGTTCAACTCAAACCATAGAAATAAGAGACAAGCACAGTTAAACTATATCACATGGGGAAGAGGTTAACGAAAAAGTGAAGACATCCACTTTCTATCAGAACACATTTAAATCGGCTTTCAGGTGTTTGATAGCGTCTTTTTTTGAGGAAAATTAAGGAGAGTTAAACTCTTTTGTTTACTGGTTATTTTAAAGGACTTTACGATGTTCACTTCATGACCTATATCACAACGCCACTATTGTAAGCATTTGTCCCTTTGAGACATCGTAGACATTGTAGTACATGTTCAGGAAACCAAAGATGTGCCCTCCGTAGATATATGCAAGTTTGTATACAGAGTTAGAGTTAACATGAGAAGGCTATCTGTCAACTTTTGATTACACACCAAAGATGAGCATGTTGTCCGATAAACGCGAACCAACTTAACTTACTTTACTTACTTACTTTACTTCGGCTATCTCCTACGGGAGGATGAGCCGGCTTCATGAACATCTCGAATCATCGCTGCCCAGGCGCGGCGATCTGATGAAGAGAGTTCATGAAGTTTCATGGGAATTTGGTACGAGTGATGTCCCCAGAATCGCTCGGCCTTTTGTTTGAGAGTGCAGCTCTAGCCTTTACACAACCAAGTGTGACCTACAAGGCAGTAGGAGTGCAGTAGGGAGTCCACTATCCACTGGCAACCGGTGACCGGAGTTCGGTTCATACGCCTTTTTGAATTGGGCCAGACATCCAACAAGCCCTTTGTCCATACGTCTGCCGGTGAGCTCCAGTGAGCTTCATACGCCAGTCGTTGGAGGTTTGGAATCAGGGTTTAGCCATCTCCCCTAGACTGTCATCCAATGGACAGTCAACCAGGTGAAGAGCGCCGGGCATCCGCTTTCGCCCTCTCCCTTTGGTGAAAAACACCTCCGCCACGTGAAGGCAGTGAGTAGGACTTCCTCAGGAGAGGCTATGTAAGACGCCCGGTCATATGAGAGCATTTCAAGAGGTGTGCGGAGGGGTGGCCAACCCGCAGCGCAAGGCACCCACCCCCAACCATCCTGAGGCTTTAGATAACCAAACTAGCTAGCTAGTTAGATATTCAATCTTCTGTTAACTATTCCTGTAATATTGTCACCTTTCAGATCGAGTTGAATGAACGCAGGTTTGTTTCGCTTCCCCCCTGTGATTTGTTTTTGGATTTGTACGGTCACACATTTTAAGTACTTCTTAACAAGCGTCTAAGAGTGACCATTGTTTTTCAAATGTTTATGACGTCAAACATATATTAAGACTTGGTTTTATTTATTGACGTTTAGGTGTTTTGTATACATAGTGATATATATATATATAAATATATATATATATATACATTCACATGTTTGTGTTTAGTAACATATCTATACACTAAACTCTATAATTTAGTTTACTGGTATTATTTCAATATTTCCGATTTAAACTATGTACCTATTGTAACACACTATTTACTGATTTTCTTCAATATCTTTCTTCCAATGAAAATTACTTAAAAAAATCTCTTGTGGGTCTTTGAAGTCAGAAGAATATTATCTATGCATATATACACAAAGGCATTCCAATGTTATTCTTTTCCATCATGAAGGTGGTGTAGGAGTCGGTGAAGTGGATTTAAAAGTAAGTTAAAACTTCAGTATTATTATTATTCCTTTTGGTTCCTAGTGGAATATTATTATTATTATATTATTATTTCCTTTAATTCCTAGAGGAACATAGGGCTTCAACCGCGCGTCTCCATTGCGTTCGGTTCTCTGCTAGAGTCTTCACCTGGCTACACGTCTGCCCACACGTTTTCATCTCTTTTTCACATGACCTCCTCCAAGTCACCCTTGGACGACCAACTCGCCGTTCGGGTTCCACTCGAGGGCTTGTCTAGTGATTTCACTTGATGGCTTCCTTAGAGTATGACCAATCCATCTTTTCTGGCCATCTGATCTGGAGTAGTATTGAGTGAAGACAGCTATTGATGAAGGTTTGTAGTTTGTTTGAGGTGCTCTTCATGACGCGTCAAGTCTCTGATCCGTTTAGCAAGTAGCACTGACTTCACATTGGAGTTGAAAATCCGGACCTTATTTTTCATGCTGAGTACCGAGTGGAATATAATGTCCCTAATTTGTTCTGTCCTCTACAGTCCTTTTCAGCTGGTCCTAAGATTTCTTCATCTCTAGCTCATACAATCTCCTCAATGTCACTCTCTAGCTTATAGCCAACTTGTCGTTCCCTATTTGGGTTCCACTCGAGCTTATGGTCTGGTGAAAGATATCACCAGCCAACAGTCTCCTCAGCTTGTATCTCTATCCATCTCCACTTTCTTCTGGGTATTTATTGAACAATAGCTTCTTGATTGGTTCGTTCCTAGAGTGTTTTTTTAAAATTTCCTTCACGTTCCCCAGTGGAACATAGGGCTTCAAGCTACAGGCCTGAAGTTTCTGTAGCAGTGCTTCTTTTTACAGGATGGGGTTGCTAAGCCTCATGCCCAACCTTCCCTCTTCACCAGCATTATTTCTGGCTTAGCGAGGTAAAGGAGTGCGTCGGCCAGGGGTCGAACCCCGGACCATATGTATACTCGGCGAGTGGCCTAACCGCTGTGCCACCGACGCTCCTAGAGTGTTGCCTACTGCTGATTCTCGACTGGATGGATGGACTTCACTGGTCACAACTTCTCATTAGAAGTCACTCCAGGCATCTTCGTCCTGTAGCCAGTCACTAGCGAGCAAGCATCAGATTAATTTTCAAGAATTCGTTTTTAGAGATTCTGTTTGTTTCAGGTTTTCAATGGTTCTCTAACTGATATCAATCTGTGATCTAACCTGAAATGACAAGATGACAGTAGGTCCTTCTTATTCACAACAATCAATATCCCCACAGAATTTCATTGAGATGCTGGAAGTTTCCAGCCTAGCCAATGTGTTAAGTACAACCTAATACAGTTATATACTTCAGTGAACAATAATTCTTGCGTCTTCATATCAAAATCTTCAATATCTACACTGATAGATTCATTTTAATTCACTCAGGAAACGATAGCTAACAAATGAAGACGTTGAGTAATATTATTATTATTATTACTATTGTTCCCTTGGGTTCCTAGTGGAACATAGGGCTTCAACTGCACGTTTCCACTTGTTTCTGTCTTCTGCTGTACTTTTCACTTGCATCCATGTTTGTCCATACTGTTTTAACTCTTCTTCACACGATCTCCTCCATGTCACCCTTGGACGTCCCACTCACCGCTTCCCTTTCGGGATCCACTCGAGCTATGGCCTGACGCGCTATGTCACCCAGCGGCCTCCTCAGCGAGTGTCCGATCCATCTCCACTTTCTCCTGCATATATGTTGAGCGATTGGTTCTTGTTTTGTTTGTTCCTATAGTTTCTTGTTTGTGATTCTTTCCGGCCACTTGATTTTCAGTATCGAGCGAAGACAATTGTTGATAAAGGTCTGCAACAGGCTGTTGGAAATATTCTTTGTGTCCCGCCAAGTTTCTGATCCGTACGTATAGAAGAACTGACTGACTTGACGTTTGTATTGAAAATCCGAATTTTGTTGTTGATGGAGGCTGAGTGACGAAGATTTCCAGATTGGTTTCAGGTTGATGAATGTGTTTCTTGCCTTCCCGATTCTCGATTTGACATCCTCGTCCGTTCCTCCTGTAGTTGAGACAATGCTCCCTAGATAAATGAAAGAAGTCACCTCTTTCAAATTCCTCCCGTTGATGGGGATTGGCGATGGATGTTTCTGCTGTTGTTGTTGTTGGTTGGTTATTTTCATAACCTCCGTGTTGTCTATGTCCACCTGGAGTCCTGTCTTCTCTGGCCGTTTCTTCGACCAGTTTGTCGGTTTTCGCTTGTAAGTCTTCGATTTTGTGTGACATCAAACATAAATCATCCACACGCGAAATCCAGGTCTTCTAGATTCTTCACGTCGGTCCAGGATATCCCTGTCTTCTCGTTTCCTACTGTCTGACGCATAATCCAGTCCACCATAATTAGGAATATCACTGGTGATAATAAGCACCCTTGTCTGACTCCTGTGTTTACTCGACACGCCTCGCTGAGTTTTCCTTTGTGGATCACTTGACATGTGCCGTTGTCGTACAGCTGTTGGATAAGGTTGGTGAATATTTGGGGTACGCGTAGTACTTGAGTAGTTCCCAAATTACTTCGTGGTCAACGCTGTCGAAGGCCTTCTCAAAGTCTATAAAGTTGAGGTAGAGGTTAGATTGCCATTCCATGCTTTGTTCGATGATGATGATGTGTAGAGTTACAATTTGGTCAGAATATGATTTGCCTTGCTTGAATCCAGCTTGTTCTGGTAGGAATTCTGTATCCAGTGCGTCCTTTATTCTCTCCAGGATGATGCGACTCAGGATTTTGCTTGGCGTCGACAGGATCATGATTCCTCGCCAGTTCTTGGTAGTTTCACGAGGTAACCTTTCCTCCAGTCAGTAGGCACCTTTCCCTCCTTCCAGACGATTCATTTTACTCCTCAATGTCCAGTAAATGTTCTTCAAAAGCTACTGGGAATCAAATCAAAAAGTACTAAACGTCTCCCTCGTCCTAGTTTGGGATTCAATGACAGTACACATCCACCACAAGGGTTCGAACTCAGGACCAGTAGTGGAGTTCATCCTGTCTGGAGGATGAACAAATACTCGCCACAGATGTCATTGGTTAGTGCCAGTCTCATGAATTGGTTGAAGTTCGAATTCATGTGCTGGTTGGCCGGTTTAGTCAGTTCCCAGTGGCTAAACCTACCTGGTAACCGGAAGGTCCTGGTTTAGAGATGTATGTGGTTGTGTGTGTGTGTACTTCCGATGAGTCCCAAACGCGGACGAAACACCTGGTTGTCCATTACTCTCTGCTGGTTTTCAATTCTCTCACTGATATCAATGCATTGTCAAAGTTTCAACTGACACTGATTTTCCTCAAAGTATCAAGAACATCAAGTTTGCAGTATTAAATATTCCTAATTTATTTTGAGCCTTCTCTTCAGTTTCGAACAGCCTAAAATATAGATGAATAGACATTTGTAACAATGATATTTTCCGGTCTCTACAATTATAAATCTTTTAATTAATTTAAGCATACAATAGCCAGCCAGTAAAAGCAAATTCCAATGATATCAGGAAGTGAATTGTAGAACAATAGTCAGTTAGTTGTAGAATATGCATGGTCAATGAGATAAAATGAGATGAAATAATTTAATGATGTGTGTGTGTATGTGTATAGATGAATACGTTCAGCAAAAATACCAGTTTCGAGAATGAGTGCAACCAGTGGAATGTTGTGAGACAATGTGAATACTTCAGGAAATAAACCAACACTAATGAGGTGGACTAGACATAAGTTGAAAAGGTTGAAAATAGCGACAATAATAATAATGGTGGTTGTAAAATAATAATAATAACGATGCTGATGTGGCGTAAACTTAAAAGTACTATTGGCGAATGACTCTCAAATTAATAATAAACAAAACGATATTGTTTTTACTGACGTTTCGCTATTTAATGCTAACAGCTTTATCAAAGTATTATTAAACCGGAATTTACAGAATCTCAGCATATACATATCTATCAAAGAGTTAGGGGGTTAGAAATTACACAAGTTAGGTCAAGTTAATAGGACATATTGAAAGTCAAAATAACAATGAAGATCACTAAACTAAATAACAGAGGTAATAGTACATCTGCTGTGGTATCAAAACAAAGTTTACTAACTTGATCATGGTTCGTTAGTCTGGGGGCATTTTTCGTTGTCAAGCTGGTCAATTGGTAAAGATAACAAAATCAAGTGTAGATTGTTGGATTTGATCAGTGTGTAACATTATAAAGGCAGTGTGTGTTTACATAGTGAACTTGCATATCACATTCGTGTTGATTTTGTCACTTCTCACCCCTTAACTCTTTGATAGATATGTATATGCTGAGATTCTGTAAATTCCGGTTTAATAATACTTTGATAAAGCTGTTAGCATTAAATAGGAAAACGTCAGTAAAAACAATATCGTTTTGTTTTTCATTCATTGGGAAATACAAAAAAACCTTTATTATAATGAATATCATATACCCAATGCCCAAATTTTTTCAAATTGTTAAAAGTGGACTTGGTTTGGACATATATAATATTAATAATGAATTTAGTGAAGTGGAATGAACGGGATTTTTTAAATAAGATAACTGTTTCATCCTAGTTTGGGAATCATCATCAGTATGCACTTGCCTTGTAACCGGAAGGCCTTGTGTTCGAACCCCCAGTGATAGGTGTACACTACCGATGATTCCCAAACTAGTTGGATGAAACAGCTGTCCAGTAGTCCCTGGTTTTCAATGGTTCTCTAACTGATATCAATCCGTATGATAACAAGTTAGAAAAGCACTACTTAAATCTATGGTAATGAAGTTATAAGAAGTCGAAAGTGAAGCGGTTGCAATCAATACGTGGAAAACACCCATACGAACATTATAAAAGAAGAGAACACGAAGTTCAGCAAAGATGGCGATCTTTTCGGTGATTTCATTTTCAAAAGTAGCTGTACAATCGCATTAAAGTACATAATTTTACATGGAGACAATTCTTGTTTGATTCTACATAATTACGACGATGAATAAAAGGTGA